GAAACCAGTGACAACGATCTAAGTGTGAGGCATCATCGTTTTAATCTGCTCCAGCAGCTAAATAAACTGTCTAAGATAACGTTAGCTTGATATGTTAGCTTCCTATGCCACCATTTTTATCAGCTAATGGTGCGTTCGCTTTCTCCTCGGAAATTCTAACTTCCCAGTAGGAAAAATCAAATGAAAAAAGAGGCAAAAGGAATGAAGATACACAGTAAATTTAGTTCACAGTAAAGATGTTTGCTTCAGTTTAATTATCAGCTTATAAAACTACAAGGACGATGTTAAAATACAAACAGTTGTTTGTTATTTATCGTGATATTTATCAAATATTTTTATATATTGAGAAAAATATATATTTAGTTATAAAAGAGAATTAAAATAATAAACACTCAAAAGTATCGAAAATTGGTACCGTTAAGTACCGGTATCGATTCGTAGGTACCGGGAATTAGTACCGGATCGATTCAAATGTCAAAGGTACCCATCCCTAAGCACAGGTGGGGCATGCGGCCACATATTCCTGGACGTCCTTGCTCATGGAGGGCCACCAGAGAGCTCGCTGTAGAAACTGGAGGGTGCAGGTTCTCCCTTGGTGACCAGGCAGGCGAGAGGCATGCCCCCATCTTAGGGCCACGGGGCGACAAGCGGCAGGCACATAGATTCAGTTGGGAGGCGTATTGGCAGGTGCGGGGTCGTTGGGTAAGGCGGCTTGGATGGCATCCTCCAACGGCCTGTGGAGGGCAGCCACAAACCTTTGAGTTGGCAGAATGGGAAGTGGTTCTCTAATGGGGGTGGACTGGGTGTAACGTTGAGAGAGAGCATCAGCCTTCAAGTTCTTAGAACCAGGGCGGTAAGCCAGGTGAAAATGGAAAGGCTCAGAAAACAGTGCCCAGCGAGCTTGACGGGGATTAAGTTGTTTGGTGGTCTGTATGTGGATAAGGTTTTGGTGATCCGTCCAGATGGTAAACGGTTCTGTCACACCCAACAACCACTGCCACCAATCCTCTAATGCCCATTTAATGGCTAGGAGCTCCCTGTCTCCCACTCTGTAATTCCTCTGGGTTGGTGAGAATTTACGGGAGAAGTAGGAGCAAGGGTGGAGCTTAAAGTCTGAGCTGCATTTAGAGAGAACCGCCCTGGCTCCTACTTCCAAGGCATCCACCTCCACCACAAAGGGTTTTGCTGGGTCGGGGTGCACAAGGATAGGAGCGGTGGTAAAGCGGTGGACCAGAGTGTTAAAAGCTTGTGTAGCCTCGGAGGTGAGGCGAAAAGGGTGTGTCTGGTTGGATGGCTTGGTTAGGGCAGTGAGAGGGGCCGCAATGGTGCTGAAATCACGAATGAAACGCTGGTAGAAGTTGGAGAATCCCAGGAAACTCTGGAGGTGTTTTAGGGAAGTGGGTAGAGGCCACTGGGCCACTGCTCGGACCTTCGGAGGGTCCGTTGACAGTCCGCGGGATGAGATAGGAAGGAAGGAGGTGGTCTCTGATGGAAAGCACACTTCTCTAGCTTGCAGTAGAGCTGGTTCTCCCAAAAGCCGGGAGAGAGGACGGCTTGGACATGTGAGATGTGTTCCTCATGGGTTCGGGAGTAAATCAGAATATCGTCCAGATAGACGAAGACCCACCTGCCCAACATATCTCGCAGAACGTCAGTGATTAGGCGTTGGAAGGCTGCGGGGCTATTGTATAAGCCAAAAGGCATCACCAAGTACTCCCAGTGGCTGGTCGGAGTGATGAAGGCAACTTCCATTTGTCACCCTGTTTGATCCTGACTAGATTGCAGGCACTGCGCAGGTCCAACTTTGTGAAAATGGTGGATTGGGACACAGCGTCCTGGGCAGTGGTCATCAAAGGCAAAGGGTGACGATCACGGACCGTGATCTTATTCAGGCCCCGATAATCGATACAGGGTCGAAGGTCCCCTTCCTTCGTCACAAAAGGAAACCTGCTGCCCCTGGTGAGGTGGAAGGGTGGATAAACCCGCACTGGAGAGACTGTGAGATGCAGGCATCCATGGCCTTAGTCTCTGCCAGGGACAGGGAGAAGAAGCGGCCCCGAAGTGAAAAGGTACTGGGCAGGAGTCGGATCTCCAGGTCGTATGAGCGATGAGGAGGCAGGATGGTGGTCGGGCATTTAGAGAAGACCTGGGCGAGGTTATGGTAACAGGAGGGGAACTGTGACAGATCAACATCCTCAGGAACAGGACAGTCAGGAGCGGAGGTGGACTGAGGGGGTCGATGGGTGTGACAGGACACACTCCAGGTGAGTACCTGACCAGAGGACCAGGAGATCTGGGGGTTATGGCGTAGGAACCAGGAATGGCCCAGGATCAGTGGAGACATTGGAGCATTGACCATGAGGAACCGGAGGGTCTCCGAATGTTGGTAGACATCCATACAGATATTGGTCGTCTCCTGGCAGATGGGGTATGGTTTGAGAGGGGTCCCGTCCACAGATGTTACTGGGATGACTTGACTGAGAGAGGACAGAGGGATGCG